TGCCCAGGTGGGTTGGGAGGTTGGGGACCCCATGCCCAGGTGGGTTTGGGGGGTTTTGGGGTCCCTGTGCCCAGGTGGGTTGGGAGGTTGGGGACCCCATGCCCAGGTGGGTTTGGGGGGTTTTGGGGTCCCTGTGCCCAGGTGGGTTGGGAGGTTGGGGACCCTCGTGCCCAGGTGGGTTGGGAGGTTGGGGACCCCATGCCCAGGTGGGTTGGGGGGTTTTGGGGTCCCCGTGCCCAGGTGGGTTGGGAAATTGGGGACCCTGTGCCCAGGGGGGGTGTGGGGGGTTGGGGACCCTCGTGCCCAGGATGGTTTGGGGGTTGGGGCCCCTCGTGCCCCCCTGGCACTCACGGACGATCCAGCGCTCCATCACCTCCAGGGACAGGTACTCGCAGGCCATCTGGGGACACGGGGCCACCGGGTCACCCCCCAGGTCACCGGGTCACCCCCCCGGGGCCACCGGGTCACCCCCCCGGGGTCACTGTGTCACCCCCCAGGTCACTGTGTCACCCTGTCCCCATCCCCATGGCCCCGGATCCCTGTGAGCCCCTGGCACTGCTTCCCCGTGTCCCCGGATGTCCCCAGATGTACCTCAGTGGCCTCAGATGTCCCCAGGTGTCCCCTGTCCCCAGGTGTCCCCAGGTGTCCCCAGTGTCCCTGTCACTCACGTTGTCAGAGGTGGCAGGGCTCAGCATGTCCCCAGGTGTCCCCAGGTGTCCCCAGGTGTCCCCTGTCCCCAGGTGTCCCCAGGTGTCCCCCCTGTCCCCAGGTGTCCCCAGGTGTCCCCTGTCCCTGTCCCTCACGCTGTCGGAGGTGGCCGGGCTCAGTATGTCCCCTGTCCCCAGGTGTCCCCAGGTGTCACTCACACTGTCAGAGGTTGCCGGGCTCAGCATGTCCCCTGTCCCCAGGTGTCCCCAGGTGTGTGTCCCCTGTCCCCAGGTGTCCCCAGGTGTGTGTCCCCTGTCCCCTGATGTCCCCTGATGTCCCCAGGTGTCCCCTGCCCCTGTCCCTCACGCTGTCGGAGGTGGCCGGGCTCAGCATGTCCCCTGTGTCACTGTCCCCAGGTGTGTGTCCCCTGTCCCCAGGTGTCCCCAGGTGTCCCCAGGTGTGTGTCCCCAGGTGTGTGTCCCCAGGTGTCCCCAGGTGTCCCTCACGCTGTCGGAGGTGGCCGGGCTCAGCATGTCCCCTGTGTCACTGTCCCCAGGTGTGTGTCCCCTCTCCCCAGGTGTCCCCAGGTGTGTGTCCCCTGTCCCCAGGTGTCCCCAGGTGTCCCCAGGTGTCCCCAGGTGTCCCCAGGTGTGTGTCCCCTGTCCCCAGGTGTCCCCAGG